TCCCAGTCCCTCTCACTCCCTCCCTCCCTCCCTCCCTCTTGTTCTCCCACTCTCCTACAAGACTAACACCCGTAACTCCTGTTAGGATAATATTCAAATTTTGAGCAAAAATTTATTGAGAATGACAGAATAAACGTTAGAGATCTAAAATATAAAACACAAATTATTTGATTTGATGAAATTCACCTACGCCTACAATCTTTCGCTAAATTTCAAAAGAGATATATAAATAAATTACACCACTTCACAAGAGTAAAGAAAAAGATACCATTTTGTGCTAATCGCTAAAGAAAGAACACAATCATCTTTTGAGAACATGAGCATGAATGTAGAGAAACACATAGATGACATTCTTCCTTCTCTTCTCTACCATGAGAAATTTTGTTGAGAATTGGACCTTCTTTAGGGTCCTATTCATTAAAAGGGAATATTGAAGAAATCTAGGAGTTTATTTATAAAATATTATAATATCCTATTTATGCCCATATTATGAATGTATAAAATAGGTTTTGAACAATTTTTTCTTCATGATATCAAAGCCCTAATCCTATGGTCGTCGGGGTCGGTGTGCAGAGACAAGGAACTCCGACTTTCCTCTCCTTCTGTTTAGTCCTCGCATTACAGTTGTGATTAGAGTGGCGCCAAGGGGATCGCGGCGTTAAAGTCGCGATTAGAGTTAACTGGGACATCAATAAGGGGGTTGCGGCTGGGATCCGCGACGTGTACCCTTGCATACAGCCGCGCTGGGAAGGCAACGACGGGATCGCGAGCTCGTGATAGGGACGATAGGCACAGTACTATAGCTGGTGAACCCTCGCAATACAGTCACGCTTGGGCATGCGAACTGACGACTCCGTCAGCTACTAGATCGCGGCAGAATGGTTTGAGTGGTTCGGTGCATAGCAAGGGTGAAGCCTGAGTAAAACCAGAGCAATGGAGAGTGGAGGGGAGAACTTTGGTTCTACACTCATGAGTAGACGATGAAGGCTGCAGCATAGTTAAATTGAGAATGTCAGGAGGCCCAAATAGGAGAGGTAAAGATTTGGAGCTTCTAGAGAAGATAGATTCTGAAATTATGAAGGTCATACAGGGAACTGCATCTCGACAAGAGCTGCTACCTTGACATGTGCTTCGACACAGGTGAAGCTGGATCTCTCTCTTGTGGACCTACAACTTCATGAACTGGAGATAGTGGAGGAGAGAACTTTGGTTCTACATGGGTGAGTGGAAGATGAAGGTTGTGGAAGAGTTAAATTGAGGATGTCAGGAGACAAAGATGGTGCGGAAAGTAAAGATTTGAAGCTTCTACGGAAAATAGATCCCGAAAATCTGAAGGTCTTTTTTGGTCTCATACAGGGAGCTAGCGTCTCGAGTTAGTGTTATGAGAGTAGATGGATATCTAAGAAAGAGACTAGATGGAGACTAGATGGAGTTAGTCACGTCGAATAAAGGTTGGTTTACTAAGAAAGAAACTAGATGGATATCTAACGGGAGTCGAGCTAAAGAGTGACAGTGTTATGAGAGATGAGTGGAGGATCACACATCCGTTGCTTTACACCTGTCTACTTAACTCTATGGATATATTGATTGCCTCATCATTAGACGACATTCAAAATGTAAGCAACATCTGGGCGAAGCTGAAGAAGTTCTATGCTGGAGTTGAGAACCACATGAGGTGTTCCAGATTCAACGTGAGATAGAGACAGTGGTTCTTCTATGCTGGAGTTGAGAACCACATGAGATGTTCCAGATTCAACGTGAGATAGAGACAGTGGTTCAGGGTGATAGATCGATTTAGAAGTACTCCATCGAGCTGGAACTATTGTGGACAGATTTTGATCACTTCTCACTGATGTCGAGTTGTGAAGATCTGAAGTGCAAGAAAGAGATCTTTGCACAAATAAGAAATATGCAATTTATGGCCAATCTGACCTTGGCATTTGATCAG